ATGAGTATATGCAATGCCAAGCTGTCCGTTCCCAAATACCGCGTATGGTTCCTCAAAAGTGGGGGTTAATTATTTGTCTCGCAAGACACACTTTGAGCACGAGTTTTAAATAATATTTGTGCTCGATCCGGGGTGGTGACTATTATCACTTTCTCGCGTGATATTGCTCATCTTTCAAGAGATCGGTGAAGATTGGTACGGGAAATACAGGGGCTCAAATATTTGGACTGGAGGAAGTAGCACTGTCAGTGGATGAGAGTATAGCTGGTTTGACAAAAGTTATAAGTTCGAGTTAATGCAAAAAAAAGGAGCTTTGTTAACGGGATTATATTGATTGATGGAGCTACGAGGGATAAGGCATCGGGAAAATTTATCGAGCACATCGGTGGTGGGCTAGATTGGTAGGAATGGGTATCGAAGCAAGATTTCTACAGTGGCTAGTGGGAGTTTTCAATTTGATGGTTCATACTAATTTACTACACACTTGATCATAGAATCATAGCCAGCATTTCCAACCAATAGTGAGTTACAATTATGCACTTGCTAGTTTCTTGCTCAAGGATAGCTTTATTGATTCCACGTATTTGCATTGTGTATCATAGCCCACCCGTCTCATTCTGGTGGAGATTGAATTTCATCCCTAAACAATGAGAGTACAGAGGAACCTTGATTTATTGAGCACTGTCGCTATCGCCTATGCGCAGCTTCATGCTTAACCAGGTCCTAGATTTCTCAATTCAGATACTACCCCAAGTCTCAGACTTCGGTAATCATGAGTAGAAATCACTGGTGAATACCTTTATCTATTGCCTTAACATCCGCTTAGAGAATCTAGTTATTGTGTCTCAGCAAACGTCAAAACTGATGAGGGATGATTTTTATGTCATTGAAAGACTACTTCTGCTTGTTTTTGAGCCAATTCTTAGGAGAATAAAGAGCTTGCAAGATCAGAGACGAATCCAATTCTGAACAGTCAGTTCAGATTCAAACAAATAGAGCAACAGAGGTTATACAAAATGAGTAGCAAAGGCAGAAGGTAATCAGAGCAGAAAGTCAATACACAAGAATGATTTCATAACGTACCTATCGTACTCGAATTTCATATCCTCAAAGCCATAGCTATCGTTTACCAGCATCAAAAGCCTGGATTCCTTCGCCTTCGAATGGAAAGTCTTCGCAGACGATGTCTGAATCGCGCATATCTTTAACCGAGACTTGTACCCAGCTTAGACCTTTGGCATCATGACGTTTGACACGATGAGAGTAGTTATATGTCACCATGGTGAGACCGGTTGCAGTCACGGGATTCAACTTCTGAGAGGATTGTCGTTTTGCGTGATCTAACCATGCGTCTCTATCTTCCGGTGGAATGCCCGATTTCAGTAGTATCTTTGTGTCTTGAGACCAAGGGAAAGTTCCAACCTCAGAAAGATATGGGTACATATCTTGGGCTCTATACTTACGTACTGGGTTATTTATTACGACAGTGTCCTTTAAATTATCTCGGACTCTATTGCGCAAGATTTTGAGTGCAGGCGCATAGGTTAGCATGTGGAGACTGAAATGTGCAGACCTATCTACAAGGAAAGGGTTGCTCAGCGCAATTTCAAATTTTGATTGCGCGCGTGCAATGTTAGAGAGAGTCTTTCTGATAAATGCAGTGTTCGAGGTTCCCAGTCTGCGGACGAGTTCCAAATTAGGCAATACTTTTGTATTGACCCTCGGTGCATAGATGTCTTTTCGAATACTTCTCAGCCTGAATTCGTCAAGTGGGCTCAAGCGCACCATAACGTTTATGAGTCGTCCGAACGACTCTCTGGTTTGAGGAAAGAACTGTGGTGGTAAACCCATAGTTAGATAGGTTATCAATGTAGGAATATATAAGCTCGATCGTCCAAGTTCTGTATCTAAAGTTAGCCAACCTCTTAGACGGCCGATTTGGAGTGATACTATATTTGAAAATATTACTCCGACGTCAGACTCCAATCAAACAACTCGTGGTTCAGCTTCGAAATAATACATAAGACTTGCACAGAAATAGCTAGTATATATAATTCTGATTTGACAGCCTATTTTGAACATTAGAACTCGGCTCGCCTGTATCTCATGCGTGAAAATTGATGCCAATTTTTGTTTTTCCCAAACTTTTCAACGATCAGTTGGGATCAAGTTGGTAAGATGTGATTAGAATGAAGACAATCAAATACTGTCCATCATCCGAGACTAATTTAGACATAGATTTGACTTGATATATCCAGGTATTCGATGTTGATTCTTATGAGAAGTGGGTGACAGTATGCAGTGAGATTTCTCATGGGAAATATATCTTTCTAGCTGACTAATCGAGGTTGAATGTCCAGCCACAATCAAGTCATAATCTATCTCATCACAGCAACATCGCACGAAAACAAGCTGATCTAGCTCATCCATTTTCACTTCCAGTATTCACCGCACATATTACAATCTTTCACAAACATTTTGTTCCACTCCATCCCTCTAATTAACACCATGCTCCGGTGCTCCTCCCTGAGGACCCCAGATACTTCTCTCTTGCAACCACGCCAACTTTCCACTCTGCTTATCCACCTTCCCAAACATAAAGCTTTCAAATTCCGTGTCTTCTCCATCAACTTTGATAGTTCCCGTCATATGCGCTGCCAGATTATCTCCATCGCGGAGGAATTGATCGCTAGGTCCATCCGAGTTAGCTTTCCATAGCTCAGTCTTTCTCTCCCTCCCTAAAAACTGCCCGCTAAACACAGGAGATGACTTACACAACAGGTTTATACGCACTAATCTTCCCCCTCCACATTTCAATTCCCTTGACCCAATTCTCAACATCTGATTTCTGTCCGTTCATCACATGATGGAATGTAGGACTTGCAGTAGCTTCTGCATACGTCTTTGCTTCAGCTGGTGGACCGATAAGACTCTGTTCCATCGCGCGCTGGAAGCCTTCGATCGAGGATGTATATTCGGCCATTTTTTATTCAAATTGGAAGTTTGAGAAATCGCTAGACAGTTTGGAAGTGATGTTTGAATGTACTTCCTTGTTCTTTCTCAAATGAAAATCATGAACGATTCTTATAAACGACGAGGAAGCTGGCCTGCTTATTGCTTATTGTGCCAAGTATATTTTCTGCGCTATAAAACCAACAGTTGGACTGTCAAAGTAACGTTTGTAAGTGGATATGCGGGATATATGTATAGTGGGAGGTTGCGTTAGTGTTGGTTATATCTTATGTGAGAAAGTAGCTCTTAGGATAGATCAGCGGTCTGTGATGTATGTTGGATCAAGGCGAAATGGTATTCAGATTATGACAATGATCTTCTTCTGACTGGGCATGTTCTTCAAATGTAGTTGGTATAATGACAAGGTTATTCAAAGTCTCGAAGTGCTTGTTCTCAGTATATGCAATCTCACTCGTTCTCCATCCCCCACCTTCCCCATCTTCCAACCCTTTTCCAAATCCACTACTTCTTTCTCCTAGCCCTCCCAACCACCCATACTATCATCGCAAATCAACTTCTCTCGTTTAACCCTTTACCGTTTTTCCTTCTAGTCCCCTCCAAAAGAGGCGAAATAATCACACCTACACTATCTCTTCCCTGTTCCATTCCATTCTTTTAATCCCCAACTAACTTCCTCAGCTGACATAATGATACTCTTAGATTTCAAACCATGTCGTCCCGTCATTCCTATCCTCCAGTCTTCAATCTTAACCTCCATCCCAAAATCATTATTTGTTTTCCACAAAAAAATCGTATACCCGACTCTGCACTATAACCAATACCAATCTCTCCTGTCTTACTTCCACATCACCAAGAAAACATCACGATTGATACATCCTCAAGACCATCCAAACCTCGAGCCCTCCTCGCCAAATCGCACACCAGAAAAACCAGATACTCTATCTCCCATTTCTCATCCATCACGAATCCCAATAAATATTAATATTGATATCAATATCCATCTCCATCTCCATCTCCATCTCTCTATTCTAAGCCTAAGCCATGTAATGAATCCCAAAGCTAGATCTCCAATCCATAAATCAAGCCATCCCAATTCAACATCCATTAACCATCAAGATTCTCTTAAAGTTTTTCCTCCCTCCTCAAGCTAATCCCCATATCATATCAGATCCGCACATCAAATCCACATATCGGATTCAAATTCCAGCCCAAATTCCGACACACGAGCTGTCGTTTAGGAGAGCTTTACCAACTTCCACGTCCCAATCCCTATCAATGCTCTCTATCCCTTTCCCTATTATCCGAATCACCCCTGTCTTCCCAACCCACCTCTCACACATATACACACACACACACACACACCATAGACTCCCACCATAGACTCCCATCATACCACAATAACTATCTACCCTACCCTACCCCTTCTCCACCCTCTCCACCCCATCCACCCCATCCCTTTCCCTCTTTCTTCCTCTCACCAACAACCATCCGAATCCGGCATCAAAAACCTCAATCCCAACCCCCAACCCCCAACCCCCAGTTCCAACTCCCAACTATCTCCTCGCTTAACATATCATAACTATATGAGTACTTAATACCTTCTTGTTAAAGATTATCTACCTAGTGTAGGTAATATAAACATCCCGAGGTCACCTGAGTATATTCTATTCAGCTAGATATAGAAATATAGAAGACATACACTAGAAAATCATGCCTGCCTTACCAATCATTCAACTCTACCTTCACACACCACCCTCCCCCTCTCCCCTAGAACCAGACAACGAGATACAATCTCTTACAATCTCATCTCTTGTAATTAGTGATCGCATCTTCTCACTCATTCATTTTACAACCTAAGGAATGTCAAGATCGTTTTCTCAAATTTAGATAGGTACATAAGTTTTCCTTCCCTTCTAGTCTATTCTCGCTAATATCTATCCATAGAATCTTGACTTCGAGGTCTTGATGTACTGTACCTACATATACCATATAATTTGCAGCACCCCTACATCCTCCGTTCAAACATTCTAATCACTATCCTCCTCCTCGCTCTCGTCATCTTCCTCCTCACTACTCTCCTCGCTCTCCGCCTCTCTCAGCCACTCAACGAACACCCCTGTCCTCTCCCTCACCTTCTTCATCTCCACATCCCCACCTTCCTTTCCATCCCCTCCACTTTCCGCCTCCTCATACCATCCCAAAATCGCCTCTTCAGTCACCACATCCCTCTCATACAATTTCTGGCAAAGACTCGCCATAACCGGTGCTCCGTTCTGTTTCCCCACCAATCCCTTCTGCAAACAAACGAGAAATTCCTTCATTCCCCCCTCATCCCTCTCTATTCCCACCGCGACCTCCTCCAGGAATTTCTGTGCACCCGCTACACTCAATGCCTGCACCGTTGCTTCAACCGCGGTTTTCGTTCCGGCCGTTACAACTTCCGCTATGAATTTCGTAAAAGCGGCTGCGATTGCTCTGCGGATTTGATAATCATCCGCATCATTACTTAATCTCAACCCCATAAATTCCAATTTTGCACCATCGAAATCCCCGTTCTCTCTCAATGTATCAAGAAGACCTTGAACAGCATCATGATGGAAGGATTCCGAATTGCCATGTCCATGTTCATCATCCGATAGCGAACCTGCGAAACTGGAGTGACGAGATCGAGTATCAACTTCGCCGGCTGAAATCTCGGATGAGATTGTAGAGATGGATTCGCTAGAGATACTGAGATGTGCGGTTGAGTATATGAGACTAGAGTGAAAGGCGCTAGATTCCTCATCTTCGAATTCTTCTTCATCAATGAATTCGTATCCTTCTCCGCCTTCTCCAACGATTTTAGAGTCGGTGGGTGTATCGTCATCAGACTCAGAATCATCCTTTGCTCTTTGTCCGGTTGTAATACGCGATCCTTTGGCGATTTCAATTCCATCAGCTATCCTCACACCAAATGAAAGAAGTGATCCTTCACTAATCTTGCACTTCTGTCCAATCAAAACATTATTAGCAACTATCGTCTGCTCCACAGATGACCCATCACCGATGATAACATCATCCCAAATATAAGCGTTCTTAATTGTGACATTCTTTCCAATTCGACATCCTCTACCAATAGTACTATTGATAATCGTCGAACCATCTCCTATACTAGTACCTGCTCCCAATACAGTTCTTCTACCAATCTTGCAAGTTCGAGCTAGTATAACACCGTTTTCCTTGCAAAAGCCACCTCGTTGGAATTTATATGTTTGTCCTGCGACTAAATTGCTATCTGGAACGAGAGGATATGTCCATCTTCCCAGAACATCCTTGGTTATAGCTTCATAAGCTTGTAAATTAAATGCTCGAGCTGCATAATGATCCGTTACAATCTCTGTATGAATAGTCTTTCCATTCAATTCATAGTCTTTCAATACACCATGTAAGAAATGTCTTCTAGGAACCTCGTAGTCGAAAGATTCCGCCCATAATGCTAGTACATCCGGTGTACAAATATCGATACCACAATCAATAAAATCCGTTCGAATCTCTATTTCGGAATTTTCTGTAATTATTTCCGGATCGAGACTGAGATATTTATTCGATTGAAGAGGATTCATCTCTTCATAATGAAGACATCGGTTCTTCGTTGGATCCAAAACAAAAACCGGTGTAATACCATTCGATTTTGTTCTATGCTCTTCCAATCCAGCTGATCTTAAAATCATAGTCATAATAGCATTTTTATTCGCATATCTCCTCGCTCTATGTGCAGCCAACGCAGCATCAATCGGTAAATTCGAGACCAAATCCCCATGAACCAGTAGAAAATCCCCCGTAATCCAATTTCGCGCGTCCAAATCCCGCATCGCATCTCCAACCGAGTGGGCCGTAGTTTTAACAATCATGAGTCTGCTGAAAGGTGACGAGGGCGAAGTTTGTGGATCCCATTTAGAGTTATGAAGGTATTCTTCTACAGCTTCGGTATGTGCACCACAGTATATATAGATATCCGCGACGCCGGACATGGCGAGAAATTCGAGTGTATATTCGATGAGAGGAGTATTGGCCAGAGGTAACAGACATCTTGGGGTATCCAAGGTAAAAGGATTAAACCTCGTCTCGAAGGAATCTGCCAGGACCACAGCTTGCAATGTCTCATCTCTCTCATCTTCTTTCTTTCCTCCACCTGCCGCAGCACCCTTTTTGCCTTTCGAAGCACCTCCTTGTGCCCCCTTTCCTCCAACCCCGCCAGCATTCTTGGTGGACTTTGCCGATTGTGCCATATTCGTTTGCTTGTGTATCTCTATTTTGGTAAGGAAAAAACTCCCTTTATGTGCTGGATATAAAGATAGTATTTCAACTACTATATTTCATAAAGAAACAGGATTATAATAACAATCGATACCCTTGGATAAAAGTATGTTCTAAGTTCCAACAATTGTCCGAGGTTGAGTTGAGAAGATATAAATCCAAAATCCATGAAAATCGAGGGGGTAGAATAATTCGTTACTTGGTTGACTCATTCACAGCCTTTCCATTCATTAGCTTACCTACCTAGTATTATTAGTTTTTTTTTTATAGCATTTGGTGGGGTTGCAGCCTTCCGTACTTATTTATTAGGTACTGCACTGCATTTCAATTTCAGCCTCGTCTTGTGCCTCGCTTCCTTTGAAGGCTCACTGCATATAAGATCACGAGTCTCTAAGAATCTAGACCTTCAGGTGGGCTGACGATCTAGATTTCTTATCATTAACCAAGTGTATATAAATGTCAGCTCCATCCCTTCACAGCCATCATTTTCATTTCTTAAAAAAGTGTCAACTTTGGGTATTCAAATTTTTTATATTTTATCAACCTAAAAACCTATGAATAGTTTTCGACCGTCAACAATTCCGGCTAAATAGCTAGACTATTTTTTTTCAATCTGTCAATTCTGCGGATCTAAGTACCGAGTTGGATTACTTCGACATTGTATCAGACATATGTCGACCTATCCGAGTTCCCGGCTACTCGTTCGTCCGTATAAACGCCCTGTCCTATCCCATCCGACCTCAGACCAAGCCACGCCATGATTCGCATCTAAGTTTTCTAATCATTTAACAAACACCAAGATGCCTCCATAGCTCGCCGGATATTGTTCTCATCAGACCGTCCTGCTCGCGAAAGAAATGTAAAAGAAGCTACTATCTGAGCTTTTAATGTCCAAAAGATTTGTCCGGCAGCGACTAGATAATTAAATCCAAATCAGGGACTGAGAAAAATATACAAATTAAAGACCAATCGAGTCAATAGCGATGGATTGCAGAATCTTTGAGAACAGACCTGTCGGAAAGATATCTAACAGAAGATTATGGGACTGAAGGAGGTAAGTCAAGGCCCTGAGTCAAGGTCCTGATCAGGTAATCAAGCATTGTAGCTTGGGTTGTTCCTGCTTGATCGAACACCAAGCTTTTTGAAACGGGGAGCTCGTCTTTCAATAAAAATAAAAGTTGGCAGTTGAAAAAGATATTTCAGCCTTGCTGGTAGTTTCCAGGCGGGGCATACATTCTCTGGCGTTTTTGATCAGAATTGCCATCCGGTGTACTGGCACCACTTATGTCGGATATGCCTCTCCTATGTGGAGGTCTCTGATTACCTAGACCGGATAGAGGCGCAGCGAAGCCAGATTGAGAATGAGGGTGGGTTGGAGTCACAGAATATGATGGGTCTCTCATGCCATTAGTAGGCTGCATATAGCTACCTGGGGCCGAGGTTACAACTGGAGACCCCCCTGGTAATTGAATTGGCGACTGCCAAGATGTAGCAGTTTGAGGTGACTTTCCAGAAGCTGCATCATCTACTATGGACTGGGTGGCAGTTAATTGGCCCATGTTTAGACCCAATGGAGGGTGAGACTGCGACTGAGTTGGGGTAACAAATCCACCCGGATGTGACATTGGCCCGGGGCTTGAGAAACCGATCGGAGGCGCATCCTTTCTGAAATGAGCCAAATGTTTCTCAAGTGCTTTCATCATACCCTCTTTCGTGAAAGGTTTCGGTAAAACATCATTCATACCTAGTCAAGTCAGTACTGGAAAGATGAAATGTGTGTGTATGTGTAATGTGACTAACCGTAACGGAAGTACATTTCAATGTCATCAGTTCGAATATTGGACGTCATTGCAATGATGGGAATATTTGCACGTATTTCTCGTATGCATACAGTCGCAGACACTCCATCAAGATGCGGCATAATGATATCCATTAAAATGAGATCGAAATGATTCTCTGCACCAAGGTTGATTTTGCTTACTGCCTCGAGGCCATCACGCTATTGAGAGTTAGCTTTGAATGCACAACAAAGTGCAAAAACGAGGTACAAACTTACTGCTATATCAACTCCACATTCGAATGATTCCAAGAATTTAGTTCCAATTCGTGCGCATACCTGATCATCCTCTACCAGTAAAATCCTGGGCTTCCGTTCACCCCAAATCGAAACCATGCCCTTCTTACGCGGACCGGGCGCACGAGGAGGTTGGGGCATCAGCTCAGCGGGGGGCATACTGTCCCGTGGCATCAATCCTTGAGGGGGGAGCGCGTATGGAATGTTATTGACATGCTGTTGATCGATTGGATCAATACCGACGATAGCACCAACAGGATAGACCAGATTATCCAGTTCAGATTTGTCCATAGAATAGCCCGTTGTCGGGGCGTTCACTGATTCTGAAATTGGAGGCATCGAGACAAGTCCTCCTGGATCATTTGGGGGAGTTGAGTAATCTTGTCGTAAATGATAATCGTGACTCATCTGTTCCAACTCTTTGCTGGGGAAATTCTCGGCCGATAGTTGCCCAAGAAGGCTTCGAGCTTGAAGCAATGGAGTTGACGGATGACCATCTTCTGTAGGTCGACCGAGCATGTTGGGTCCAGCACCATTTGAAAGTCCTGGAGCCCGGCCATTCCTTCGTTGCGCATCCTGGCCAAATAGATGTCCAACGAGACCATGCATAACTCCTTCATGGTTTTTGATGAACTTTTGAGCATCGACAACTTGTTGTAACAGCATTACGTTAAGCTGTGCTAAATCCTGATAACTCCGAGAGAGTCCCTGTAACTGTTGTTGAGTGGCGGCGAGTTGATTACCAAGGAGATCCATTTGCTGTTGGGCATGAGCCGGATACGTCTCTTCATTACTCTGAGCAACCTTCCTCGGAGCCGGTGCCTTTCGTCTGATATTATCTAGTGAATCCTTTTTGTTCGCTTGAAATTCGGGATGTTTGAATTCCCAAGCCTGTAAATAAATTAGTTTGCCGCCTTTGTATAGTTAGAAATACCACGCACATTTTGCCCATAAGGAGATTGTGTATTATCCTCGTTATTCTGTCGGACCTTGTGGAAATCATATTTGTTCAGCTGTCTAACAAAACTAGCAAAGTTGCTGTGTTTGAAGTGCTTCGGTAGGATTTGTTTGGTAAATTTCTCGTTCTATATCTTCATATTAATAACGGATCATGATTCAACTAATTCTCCATTTGAAGACATACTTCGAGAACCACAAAACTCTCTCCTGCTTCACCCCACCGTACTATGCTTTCGTATGTTGGGTCTTCGAGCATTCTAAAGATTTGGCAGAATTAGCGGTTTGTCGCATGAATCATTATCCAATTCGGACATCGAACGAGCTATTTTCTTACTTGTATAATTTTCGGACCTGTGAAAGACATATTAGCCATTGAAGATATTTCAAATATTTGCGCCATCACGTCGCGAAATGGTACAAGTATTGTGTGTATGTAGACTTACAAAGTCGCTGGAATTGTTGGCGGAAGGACCAGCCATATCTCCACCCTTCTCCATCATATTTGCGCGGGAACCCGTCCGATGACAGGAATATCAAATGATATTATTCCCTTCCCCCCTAAGAACCTGGTTTGTCGACGACGATGTGGGCGAGGATAACCTCTATATAGATAGAGACGGGAGTATATATAAAAAAGGGACGATGATTCCAGGTACCTAGTACAAATGACCTTTTTCTAGATGCACGGGCCGTCGCGTCGGTCGAAAAAAATAAAAAGAATGCCTTAAAAGGTGCTAAAGGGTAATCAAAAGCTGTAGGCCAACACACACGGTTAACGGGAAGTCATTTTGGAGAATCCCGGAGGATTATTTGAGAAACGAGATTTGAATGATGATATGGGTGATATGAGTGATAAGGTGATAAAGTGATAAACGACGGATGATGTTTTTTATCCTGGGGTATAATGTATCGATCGGATTAAGGATAACGACTTACAAGAAGAGATATGGAAGGGAATGTATGGATGGATTGATATTGAAGGGATACAAACAAGCAATCTAGAACGGGAAGATTCTCCAGATCTCGAGAGGTCCGGCTGTGTGTGTATGTGTAGGTATGTGTATGTGTAGGTATGTGTATGTGTATGTGTATGTGTATGTGTGTGTGTATGTGTATGTGTGTGTGGTTCTATTAAAAGGCTGCAGATCTAGAACTCGAGGAACAAGAGAAGGAAGGATAGAGGAAGAAAGAAGGTTTGATGCGTATATCTTGGGTGCGGCTGCCCTTTTTTTTCTTTTCTCTCTTTTCTTCTTCTTCTCAGATTAAGTGTGACATTATAGTTTTCTAAGTGTGAGGTGTATATAGTATGGTACGAGGTGCGATGAGAGAAAGGGTAAGGCGGCTGTTGCCAGATGATATAAAATGAATGAATGACACAGCACAGAGTCGTAGGGCGGAAGGGCTGGAGGGTAGGAGGACAGCGGGTAGCAGACAAGTAGGCGAGTAGGCGAGTAAGAGGTCGAGTTCAAGGTAAGTTCAGAGTCTAAAGTAAATTCAAAGTGCAAAGTCCAAAGTCCAAAGTCCAAGAATTGGTGATTGATCCAGCTAGCAAGAATATCAAGTTTAATCCTGGTTGAAGTGGAGATTCCTTTTGAAAGTTTAAAAACTTTAGATGTGATTTAAATCATATTAGTCTCTACTGGGAAGTAGACCTTGCCTATATCAGATCAACTAATACCAATCTGGCTGATGGTGGGTGGACTACGGGTGTGCAGGAAGTATTGACGCGACGTGTATGGAGTATTCTCTCTATCTTTCTGCATTATCATGCTTTATACTCGAGTCACTCACTCGCTCAGGGTCACTTATCACTTTTTCTTCTTGCCCTTTCCTCTGTGTTGTACTCCTGTACGTGCCTTCTTCCTTTATTTGCCGACGAAAACTTTCCATGAACCCTGACTATCATTGGACGGGACCAGCTTTAACTTTTCAGGTAATCCGCAATGAGAAATCGATACAAGGATGAGGCGAAGGAGAAAAAACATCAAGATTCATAGAGAGAGAGGGGACTTGAGCTCAAGCACGAATTAGACGTCGAGAAAAGGGTGAGAGGCTGCGTGAGTGTTTGGATGTTTGAATAAGGGACCACCTCTTATTAATTTATTGATCTTTCGGAAGAGATCCCCGAGAGTAATAAGATTTTAAATTTTACGCATTGGATGGGATAATGATAAAAACCTTGAACCTGGAATATACGGAGTAATATTGGTAAGTAGCAGTTGTAAGTTTTAACTTTCATTCATTAGATACATATTACATATTACTGCATCTGCATCTACCTGGGTATCGGTATAACAGCCTAGCAAGCATGTATATGTGCAATCGAAAGAGAAAAAAACCATTTGGAGTCAAGACTTGAAGAGAAAAGGGTGCGGTCGTGTAGGAGGGCTCTCTCCCTCATTGATCGATCTAATTGCCGACCAAATACTCCGTATCTCTCCACTTGATGTGTTGTTAAATGTTGAAAAGTCTTCGACGATGTGATGTACCAGGACCAGCAAGTATTGAATCATAAAAGCTTTGATGAAGGGGCTCGTACCGAGAGAAAAGCACATGCCACCTTTGCACCTTTGAGCCACAAACCAAGTACTAGGTAGGATGTAGGTGTACGGAGTAAGTACGAAGTCGGTATCTAGGGAGGAACACTCGAGTATTCTTTATAAATACACTCCTCCTTCTTCTCTAAGTGCTCTTCTTGTCATGAACCATGTTACTTAGTGTTCCTCGAACCGAGCATGTGCAGGTAAGATGTTGTGTTGTGGCAATTGATCGTCACTCATTCAAGCATTGTAATTTATCACCACATTTCGATTTTCTGATAGAAATTCTTTTTAACCCAATCAAAGACGAAGGATATTATTTATTTGAAAGAACTTCATATGTTAATCCCGGAGCTTCTTTCTTTCATGCTTCGAACCAATCTCATCCGCATGAACAATAGACCTTTTGGTAAACGCTATAGATGACAACATCCTTCCCCTTTATCTCTTTTCAATATGGGCTCATAACTTAAACAAAGTACAATAGCAGTGGGAATTGACCAGACGTTTTGAGTTCTTCCCCTCTTGGTCCCGTTTGTTCTCTGATTTATCGGTCAAAGAAGAAGAGTTTCCACTTTTCAGCTACGAGCTGTGTGCCAAAGAGCTGGGAATGACGCAGTGCTAGCTACAGCCGAGGGGCTGCGGTCACATGCCATCAGTGACCAGTGACCCTTTATGCATACGAAACATACTCGCACACACTGCACAGTTGCGTGTATACTTTTCCCTTGAGGTGTTTTGGCGTTGCCGAGGATTGAGAAAGAGGAAGACGCGTTGAGGATCGCATACGGAGTATAGAAACGAGCGTATATCTATATAAACACACAGCTACTCCGTATGTAATACGAATGAGCTAACGTGAGAATCATACTACTTATCGGCCAACATGAGAATCACGGGAATCATAAGTATCATACTACCTACTCACTACCTACTTAGATATACGTAGCTACCAACTACTCAACCACCACGATGTTCTATGTACCTTAGACGCTATTAGACGATATAAACGAGATGAACATATCTTAATACGAGCTTAATTCATCTGCTATATAATCGTTCACATGAGTAAAGTTTAATTCCGTCTCGAGATCTCTTACAATATTTTATGTCATTTATTTAAACAAGGCGTTTAAAATATCTAAAGTCTCCACTACTACTTCGTACATCAAAATAATCGGATGTCGGCTTCTCAAAAAGACTTTTATCTCGGGATATCCACTGACATCCCATCCACCCCTCCACCTTACCTCTGTAAAATCTTATCGGATTTATCCAAAAGGAACAAAAAAGAAAGGATCTTCTGTGGTGTCTCCATACTTAACCGGCGCGCATGTCTAACTACTGACGCATGAGAGGGATCCACTGATCGAAAAAAGCAGAATCATCTTGTCATGCTTTGTGGCTTGCTTACGGGACCCCCATGAACTTCTATGTCTTGGCGGTTGATGTTACTGTTACGCAGTAAAGTACGACTACCTGGAGGTTGTACTACACTGTGTACACACTTTTCTTGATCCGCAGAACTTTCCCTACCGTTCAAACATGGATGCACGCCGCTGATGAAAGGGGTGTTGACTTGGGTTTCTCGGCATCTTCTTCTTTCTTTTGATTCTCGGAATATAATCTATGCGGGTTCACGGGAGCGATTGAGGAACCTTCGAGCCAATACGAGTACATTTTGACCAGAATCCTACTTGTACTCAAATAACATCAAGTGATGATCCTTTCCAAAGTTTAACAAGTATGCATACATCGTATACTCAATACCCCATCCTTGGTTGATGAATGGGAGTGTGGAGGGTACAGACTCAGCGCGAAATCCTAGTCTTTCCGCTTTAGTGGAATTTTCGCTCTTGTTTTTGTTCAGCGATAATTACATGTGTTGTGCGCCACAGAAGATGCCAAGTATCTAAAATATGACTGCGTTGAACTGTGTCTACACCCTCCAATTTCTATCTACCTTTGGAGGTCGACCGTTATCACGTGTGTCGGTTCATTCCTTTCGATTATCTAGTCGAATCCTACATCATTCCTTCAACAGCCTCACGAAATCAGCCATATTCTGAATGCCTTCCTGTATCATGTTCAGTATTTTTTTTTTGAATTCCTTTGGGGATTTTCTAAGCTCAAATTACTCTCGCACTCAATGTGATCTTTAATGGAATTAGATGTTATTGCCCTCGATGGTAAACATTTTACTTTCTTTACATTGTCATCTTGACCGCCGCCAGCTACTCATACTTTGGCGTATCGGTTCAAATGACCAAGACCCGAGTCTATATAACATAGGAGCTTTCTCACCAGGTGACACGGTGATCACTTCTTTAATAATGTATTCTTCCTTCGCCTACGGGATGACGGACATGATACGACAGATCGACTTGAAGGGTTCAACAGGGTCCAGCAGGGGAGTATTATAAGACTTGTGCCGGCGTACAGAGCTGGAGCTGATCTTGCTATCGATCGGTCTGCGCGCTTTGCTATTATTCCCCCAAATCCGCAGCACGCTGCCAAAAAAGTTTGTAGACGGATGATCGGCATATCTCGACTAATGACTAGCGAAGATGTGAGGGGCACTAAGAGTAGAATTCTTTACCTTGGTAAGACTGACTGAGACGAATCTTTGGAATGAATATCTGGGGAGAGCTCTACCAAGGCTTGCCGGATCTCAATGAATGTTGTGTGGAAGAATGGTGCATTAGAAGTTTAGTGGTCGCAAAACTCCAACTACCCCTAACCTATCAAGTCTTCTCATTTCTACTTGCTATTCGCAAACGTTGTCTAACTCCTTCAAGTGTCATTTCAGCTACAGAATCGTTCGCCAGCAAGTTCTCTATACCTCTGTACGCAACAATCTTATCCTTCGATGTTCTCCCACGAATAACCTCTAGGTCAGTCTTTGGACATTTCAATATCTGCATAGGTACTGTTAGGAAATCATTCAATAATAGTATTGT